CTCATCTCCTCTTCCCTCTTCTTTTTCTGCTCAATCTCTCTGCATGTTTAATTCTTGCTCAGTAAAACAAAAATGTAGCCAAGCCCCAACAAATTCAAGACAAAAAGAAAAGAAGATGACACTGGAAAAGAAGAACTGAGAATAACTGCCCATAAAGAAACAGCCAGGACCTACCTGATCTTGTTGCCCTTGTCCTGGTTGCAGATGGGCAGCAGGTCCAGCAGGACCTTATAGAAGTAACGTAGAGTGAAGTCTATACCCATCACTGCAACTGCATAACTTGGGGCCATCTGAGAGCTAGAGAGAGAGGAAAGGAACCGAGAAATGCAACGCAAAAGGATTAAAGTGCTCTGAAAAAACCTTTGTTAAACTGTTTAGTCAACATAAATCTTCAGAGACAGAGCTATCTGGCTGAAGCGGCCTCCAGGATAATACTGCTCACAATGAAATACTTAAAGGAGTACTTTTATTAAACATATCTAGCCAGGGAGCAACTTTACTTTTAGGGCTTGGATTCCTCTGGTGATGCGAATTCTGACAAAAGTTTGATAGCAGAGGGGTTTACTGTGATGACAGTACACTCAGTTTAATTACCTGGAGGCATGAATGGTGTGGCTGATGGTGACAATGTATCCCGCCCCTCCCACATCCAAGTACGGCCCCGTGAAGGTGATGAGGCCGGGGTTAGCCACGGCATGCTGGTACCTACACAACACAACACACAGGCAGAAGCTTACCTCAAAAAGTTAAGACCATTTCATTAGTTTTTACTGAACAGCAAAGTAAAGCACATCATTTTAAGACAACTCAAAGGTTTTATCCAACAAATGATTATTTAAAGAAACTTGTGAATTAAAATCTGGTTAATGTGAACTGAACGTTTGTGGAGAACTCTGAAAAATTCTGGTGGAAACCAGTACAAATCTTTTAACACATTTGATCATTCTTAATAATCATCTTTTCTTTTATCATTTTCTCTCCCTTGTGGTTTTGTCTACACAAGTTGTATACACAATTTCTACTCCTGTTCCTGCCATATAGTTGTTATATATGTTTCATTAAAGAAGTAAATATAAGGTTGAAACTAATGCAGGATGGACACTGGTAAAGCAGAACATTTACGGGTTAAAACATAAAAGAGGGCCTATGAATGTAATATTTTAAACTTTATTTAGGTTTAACTTACAAAAAACAGTGAGGAAACGGTGCTGATGAGAAAACTGTAATTGGACTGAGCTCAGTAAAGGCTGGAGACCACTTTGAAGCATAAACATTAAGGTGTAGTTTGCACACCTTCATTCCCTTTAATTCTAACTTACCCAAAACTGTCTCATACTTTGTACCTCTATGATGATTCACACACACACACACACACACACACACACACACACACACACACACACACAGCCTTCACCCCTTTCATCACACCCTCCAGAGTAAGCCTTACCATTGTCTGCGGGTCGGGTCGAAGGCTTTGTCCATCAGTGATCCCGGGTAAATCCGGAGAACCCCGCTGGGGGTTGCTATGTAACGCCGCACAATGTAGCAGTTGAGGCTACTCATTTCCACTCATCCGTGACATGACTGGTAGCCATAACCTCGTTCCTGACAGAGGACTGGAGAGGAGCAAAGATGGAGGGAGACAGAGAGAAATAAAAGAAGGGTGAAAGGGGAGAGAGAATGAAGGAGGCAGTCAAGTAAGGAGTAGAGAGGTAAGAGTTTTAATAAGGGGCTGAAATGTAAACTGGCTAAAACTCTAAGCAAATTTGCTTCCAGTCAAACCACAAACAAACCAGGAAAAAGTGAAACCTGTTCTCAGGCAGCCGCGACACTGTTTCTACTCCTCCAAGCTGCACTTGACAAATAAAGCTGTCTTTAAACAAACTCATTATTATCATAAAATAATAAGGCAACTTCTAGTGTGAAATCACAAACAGAAAGGTTTAGAAAGCCAGGATTTAGAGCCAACAGGGAATCCAATGCCAATAAAGACATGAAACACCCTGAAAAATCACATCTCAGGACCATTTTGAGTTTGAGGTCACTGAAGGCAGTCTTTAAGACAAGCCTGGGAATCAGAGGTGAGACTGGGGCTTAGTTCAAACTCTACTCCACCCCACCCCCCCACAGGAATGCACACAGACTGCCAAAACTGTATAAGGGTTTGTGAACTCCCCCACTAAAGATGCAGAACTTCATTTAAAATTTGTAAATTTTAATATTAACAGCCTGAAAACCTGGACGCACTCGTTGCAAAAACCAGAATCAAAGTTACAATGAAAAAGTACTGCTAAGAACTATAATTGTACTTAATAGTGTTTATACATACTCGCATGCAGGACTGCAACCTGACCGCAGGGGTGGCCATGTGCCACATGTTTGTCAGGTAAACAGCATTAACCCTTATGTTTGTATGTGCCTTCAGGCTGGTCACTGCTGTTAAGCTGCATGTGTGTTCCCAGGCTTGTGCGCTCATGTACCTTGAGGCCTGGGTTGGCTATGAGCCTGGTGTTATCACTGAGATAGGCAGTGTAGTGCTCCACCATACGCTTTGTTTCTGGCTGACTGAGGTGCTCATAGGGAGATGAGAAACTACCAGCTGCCAACATCACTGTGGGAGACTCTGGGAAAGACGCACAAAGGGAAAACAGGGCAGTCAAAGGTGTTCAATTAAATCAATGTTTTAGAGCTGACTGTGGAAAAAATAAAGTTTGGAGTCTAAGTTTATTACTGCAAGTGATTATATATGGGTCCAAGTGTATGGATTTGGTGCTTTTCTTACCGACAGTGGCGAGCTGCTTGAAATGCAGGCAGGAACTGGGCTGGCCGAGCAGGTCTAAACGATGGTAGAGCAGCTTGGAGCTGGGAGCTGTGTTCAGGTTCTTCAGCTGTTTCACTGGGATCTCAGGCTGCACGTACACAATGCACAGGATGAACGACGTGTCCTGAATCTGAAACCACGACAGGAGAGGAAGAGGCTTAATTTGTGGTCTACATTAAAGGAAGCCTTCATGTCTCTGGCATTTATACACTCAAAACTAAAAAGCAGCTGCGACACCGAACACACTCTCCAACCCATATCTGTCCATTTTTTCCCAGTGTGAGACACCATGGCTATTGTTTTATAAGCTGCAGGCATCTTCCATAGAAGATAAATGTTCAGTTTAACAACTTGAAACTCTGTTGTTAAATCACACCAAACTGTCAAACAAGCAAAAAACTAGTTTTCAGAAAGACCCACGAGCTATAGCAAAGGCGATGTGCCTGAATTCTAGTGCTCACAGGGGGAAAAAAGTAAATAAATAAAAAAATTTCAAAATGTCAAAAGCTTTTAAAAAAGGCTAAAAGTGACATGCCTAAATTAAGTGTGCCATTTTTGCTCCTGCCAAAAGTCTAAAAAAGCAAAACGACTCAACATAGCATTATGTTATTGCTGTGCTGCTGCCATTTGTTCCTAAAACATGACATTTCTGGGCCTGGGAGAAAAGGCAGGTTTGAAAAACGGACAGTATCTGGGTGCGGGAGCTCTTGTTTTTTTACACCAACTAATTAAGCGTGGAGACACAAAGACTGGGAGCATGAATCCCTATACTGCTTTAAGACAGCGGTACAGTAATGATGAAGAGATACAAACAGACAGGGAGAAGCCAGAGAAGAGTACATGAGATAGTTTTTGTTTTACCATGACACGGGCTCAGTGGCATTTAGCTAAAGATCATTATTTGTCTCTGCGTTGACTGTGAAAGCACTTGCTTATTTGAATTTCGAACATTCATTTGAAAGCGGTAAAAAATAAACGACTTCTTATTTTAAATAACTGGTAAATAAATGGTCCGATCTAGGCTGATGGCAAAATGCTGGACAGTGAAATTAAATGTCACCAGTCACTAGTAACAACGTGTCATAAACTGAATGTCTGTCGTCTACACCATCACCTACCAGTTTCCAGGCGTAGCTGACGTTGTACGCGTCTTTGCTGTTGTCCCTGAGTCGGTTTGTGTGCCAGGACAGAGAGGAGTTGACTGGAACAGTAATAACCTGACTGCCCAGAGGGAGACTGAAAAAAATAAAAATAAAATAAATGTACTGTATATATCAATGGCTGACTGCGAGTGAGGTTTTAAATGGACTTTGAAATTGAGGTCACCTTTAAAATTGTTATTTATATTCAGTTAAATGTAAACCTCATTCTCTCTCACCTCAGGATGTTCTGTCGGGCAGCAGGGAATCCTGGGATGTTTTCATAGTGGATGATATCGGTGTGCAAGGGGGGCTCTGTCATCAGGTACGGTCGTGTTAGCGAAGGGTGCATCAGCGTGTAACCTGGGAAATCAAACAAGTTCACGATAGCAACCTCATAAATTAGTGCTTATGTCTAGTGAGACAAATAAATACCAATAATACAACTGTTATGGACCATAAAGAAGGTACAAAGTGCAGTCATAGTGCACAATTAGGGCCGACATCATTATGTAACATTACTCCACACCTTCCACCAATTCATGTACACATCAACCATGCTCAAAATATTCTGTACAGGAACACAACATAAAGGTTTTTTCAGTTTTTATACAATAAGAGACAAAACCAAGCCATCACACAATTTGAAAACCAACTATTAACTTTAATGGACCTCATTTGTCAGCGTTTATAGAGTTGCTGCACTAATAACACCATGCTGCTGTAATAAGATATAATTTGATGGTATATTTATTACAATAACCATTTCAGAGAGGAAAATGAGATTCATTTAATGGCACAGTAGAGCATTTCAACAGCTGCTAAACTTCATTTGCAATGATTAGTAGTAAAAAAAGGTTACTGCTAAACACAACTCATCTAGGTGAGCAAATGTGATTTGCTTTGTATATTTTATAACTTTCCTCCACCATATTTCACCTCATCTTCCCAAACCTTCACCTTCTAGTCTAAATGTCTCCCATCCTTGGCTCTCTCCTCTTCTAAGTTCATCAGAAACATATGCCACCATTCCCTTTGACTTTTTTTTTAAACCCGATCTCTTTTGTGCATTTAATGAGCATGACACAGACTCCAAATCATACACAGATCAAGCCTGGTTACAGCGGGTTTTCTTCCATACCTGCCCTAACTATTCTCTAGCATTTCAACTTTTAAGTCAAAAGTTAAATTTATCTTTGAGCTTGTTAAGTATTCCATTTTAGATACGTTTTTTTTCCTGATTTTGGAAGGGGTGATATTTTTAAAATACATAAAATAAAAGTGAAGGGACACAGTCGTCCCCAAAGGTGTGAAAACTGGAAGACCTGGCAGCAGCCTGCAAACTCTTCTCTCCATACATGTGACATTCCTACTTCTCACAGTGTCCATTTTCACCTCTGTGTTGGCAGTAATCGATAAAGTGTGCTTTCAGAGAAGAGAGAAATACCGCCACTGAAATCTGGATCATGTTCTAAACAGCAGCCTGGACGGTGAGGACCATATACCAATATATACAGTAACTCGTATAAAGCTAACTTTTGTTAAGTTTTTTAGAAGTTAGAATTTTATTTCCACTAGTTTTCTGCTTTAGTTTGTTCTAACTAGCTATTCAGACAATAGTACTCACTATAACTAAGGCAAACCAATCTGTAATTACAGCAACATCCACCACACTGTGTCCGTTAAAGACATTTCTCTCCAGGCCAAAAGAGCACAACTTGCTTGTTGTACAACACCACAGCACCAGCGGCTTAGTCAAGACCCCCACAGCTGAGGCCAAGATAAACCGAGACTGGACATAAACACTACTGCCCTGAGCTGAGGCAAAGCACTGGGGCACATCCCAACCAAGAATGAAAGAAGTGTGAAAGAAGTGTCAGTGCTACCAACAAGATGCCAGTTAAGTCTGTGGTTGTGGAGGAAGCAGAGACCGTCTATATGTGAAAACAAGAACACCAAGATATAGGCTTTTTCCAGAGTGATGCTTGTTTTGTTACTGGACTAGAAAACTAAGAAGCAGGCAGTGTGTGACTTTGTATTACTATACAAACAAAAAAGTTGATTTAGAGAACAAGGTGTGACTATTTAAAGCCTTATGTCTCAATATACTTGCAAAACCTGTAGTTTGAAAAAAAAAAGGCAGCAGTGGAAAATCCTGCTAATACTTGTATGATGAAGAACATAATCGTGTGCATAGGCTCAACAAAAATGTTTGCCTTGGCGCTGCCCTCCTACTCAATGCGCCTGTGTCTACATGACTAACCTTTGTTGTCAATGAGGAAGGTGTACGAAGCCAGCGAGTCCTGGTAGTAGGTGACATCCTCCAAGATATAGGCCAGGTTCACATCTACCCCAACCACGCCGAGGAGGAGGTTACCAAAATAACACGGTCGGCTCACAGTCATGATGAAGCCTGGAGAATCAGAGTTTATATGACAGCTCAGGTTAGTCAGCTAAGCTCATCTTGTGTTAATGGTTTAGTTTTGCTGAGTTCATTTGAACTATTTCTGCATAGTTCAGATAAACCCAGGTAAATTTGAGTCAATGTATTTACTAGCTTGATTCTGTGTTGTTTTTAATCAGAAATGTGTGGCTGCTTCCTTGACAGGAAAAACAACCTGGTCAAACACAATTTTGTAGGCTGGGTTAATAATATCAACACAATTTTCCTCTGCCAGAGCAGACACAAAAGGCAATATAAAGACGACAGCAGATGTAGATGGGATCAACAGTTACACAGGTTTGTGTGAGGAAACTGACATAACTTCAGATTTCTCTGAATAAACTGACTAATGATGCAACAACTACCAATATAATGTTAATTAATACTGAATAATTTGTTCATTTCAATCCAGCTCTTTACAACTTGCACCAGATAAGAAGCTCAGCTATCTGACCATAATCTCAGATGCCACTCAGTGTTAGTCCAGATTGATGGTTGGTCCAGTTGAGTCCAGACTACTTACCATCTCCCATAGGGTCAGCATAGGGCAGGCTGAAGCGTGCCAGGTCAATCATGCGGTTGGGCAGGTTAATATAAAAGCGGCCCACTGTTGTCTCCAGGTTGCTCAGCTGGTTCAACACCATCATGCTTCCTTTCACCACTGGCATCATGGAACCTCCTGCGGACCCGGACGATGACACTATATGGGAGCGGTCTCGATCTGACGCTCGGTCGATGCCATACTTCACCGAATTCTGCTCTGCGAGGTCCCTCAAGAAGGCCAACTCCTTCAGGCCTGTTACTCCCTCTGAAGGAGGAGGGAACGGGATAGAGAGTGTGTTCAGACTAAGGAGGGAGAGTCAATGATGAAATGTGTTTGATTTAATCAAGCTGGGGTATCAAGAACAAATCTATTACTGATGGCCTAGCTGAAAGCCTACTGAGGAGGGTAACTATATGAATGAAAAGAGCAGGGAGTGGTTGACAGGGAGGTAAAAAGGGTAAACAGCTCTTCACTAAAGAGTGACTCCAGTTTAAAAAGGCAACCCACTCTTCTCTCTCTTCTAGTTGGAAAGAAGATAAACTCCAGCCATCACATCAGGGATGAATTATCATGAATCTTAGAAGAGAGGTGAATTTTGAGAGCAGTTAACCATGTTCAGTTCACGTGGCCAAGCAGCTAGAGGCTCGCATTAAACAGGATCATACTATATGCTGGCACATGGATTTCCCAAACTGACATACAGTATTTCATACGTGCCAGCCCTGACTTGTGCTCCATAAATGATCTCTGTAGGCTACAATCCCATGCATCTGCTAAACTCAGCTTTTATCTGCCAAGCTCAGAGATCATGACACGGATAAATCCCCTCATTAATTTAAAAAGTATGCAGCTGAGAGGTTAATGCACATTTCAGACTTGATTTTTCCAAACATCAGAAGGTCATTTAGAGGAGAACCGATGACTACGACTGGCAAATACAGCTGTCACCTGGAACATTTGGCATCCTACAGTCTATTGGGAAGCATAGAGCACACAGTGTCTGGCAGTGTCCGATCACTGACTACATTACAGCAAAATCCCTTTTTAATGCCAAGGCTCTTCTATGCTGATCACCATGATGGGCGACTGTCGGGTGGTGATGTCATCATGGATGGTAACGTCAAATGGACACAAAGGGAAAATCTTGCTGACTGCACAGATTTCCTTTCACTTTAACTTAGGAGGGAGTATCCAGTCCTGCTCTTCTTGTTGTATGGTAATGACAAATATGCCTGTAACTGATGTTCACAGCTTATCTCATATAAAAGTTTCTGTTTTATATGATTGTAAGTTGATTATGTTTATGTTTTGGTCTGTCAGAGAAATGCATAAACATCATTTTGGGATCTGGGAAAATGTGGTGGCCATGTTTTAATATATGTTGACATGTATCTATGGAACAGGACTGGGGCCAGTGTACAAAATTGTTTTGAGTTCTATCTTTAATTTCAGAATTCTGACATTTTTCTCAAGAGCACAGCACACAGGTGGCATGTGACGCGTGTCAAAACACCTGAACCCATTATTTTCAGTGAAAGCCCACGCAGTGGCGGAGAACTGAAGCATTGACGCGTTCCAACCCGCAATGATACGCATCAACAATAATATAACACGCTATGCTCTTGTCCCATTTTCCTGTTGCCCGCATGTGTCAAAAGCATAAAATACAGATGTAATCACTCATTTCGGTCGTCACACACTGAACTCATGCCACCCCCAGTATGTGTCACAAGAGTAACGCGCATCACATGACAAGCCACAACACAATGCACCCAGTGTGCGGGAACCTTCAGAATTCTGACTTTAATCTCAGAATTAGATTTCTGAGGAATAAAGTCAGAAATATGAGGACAAAAACTCAGATTTTGTACAATCCTCATCCTTTTCCAGAATAATTAATAAAAACGTGAATACAAAATTTTAGTCAGGCTAACTGTCTTAGTGAGGCGAACAGGAATCAATGCACACACAAACAACTGTGTATTATAATGCCAAGGGACTGCTGATCTCCTTGAACAATCAGCACTTCACATTTGGCTGGGGATACAGATACTAGGACCCCACACGCCCACAGTGGACCTTTCAGTTATGCACAACAGTGCCAGCAACAAAACAAATGTTTTTTAGATATGCAATGCTAATAAACTCAGAGTACGATAGATTTCTGCATCCTTTTCATCGTGGAGCTTTTAAACAGCAAAGGTCCACTGTCAGTCACACACAGACGGAGCAGTGCGCCCTTTGAAGTCTTACTCTCTCCTCTCTTAGATGTACCTCATTTCCATTCTCCGACGCAAAAATTATTTGTAATAATAGTCAACTAATGCATGCTCAGCAGGTGTGTGTGTGTGTGTGTGTGTGTGTGTGTGTGCATGCTGCAGAGGGAGGCAGGAATTGGAGGAGGCAGATGGATGGACAAGGACAATAAGAGAGGAAAAGGAAACACACACATGCACACACAATGAAAACAAAAAAGGCTTTGAGGTTTCTGAGCACCTCTCTAACCTTCAGTCCCTCTTGAGCACACTGTACCCAAGAACATGGAAAGAGGATATGCACCATACAGAAACAGTTCCTAGCAGAGCCAAGAAGGGATGCAGCTCTAGATACTGTATGTTCAGAGAAAATGACCAATGCAAAGGAAATTTAACCAATTAGCGTATATGTGCAAAACTATTTGTGATTCATTTCCAAAAAAGTCATCATTTTTAAGCCTTGCAGTAAACTAGTTTATAGAACTGTACTACTGTTGTGACATTTGAGAATAACTTGTTCAACTGCAAACACCAGTAACATCTTTGTACATAAGAAAATGAGATGCTTTCTTGGCGCAGCGCTGTCACCAATCCTGCAGCAAGACAGTATATATTATGTGACTATGTGAAAACCAAATTAAACCACCCTGTTTCTTTAAAAAAATGTTGAGTTTGACATATATGTGACCTACCATTCATGAGAGCATAGGTGAGGATCATGACCGAGTTGTTAAGGTGTCGGTTCTCCTCTCTCACCACACTGAGAGTTGCTTTCTTCTCCTGTTCCGACAGCTCTCGAGACGTGATACCGGACGACAGGTAGATGATCATCATGTCTGTTGCTGATAAATAACAGGAACACACAAAATACATATTAATTAATATAAAACTAAATTACAGGAAATTATAGTGTTGAAGGCCAAATATACTGACAAAACCTGTGCACAAGAGTCAGAATTGATCACTGAGGCAGCACACGCACAATTAATATAATATGCAGCGACACCACAGTTTAACAGTATTGTTGTCCTCCATAGTTCTTACTGGTGCTGTGCTTGCTGAGGCTACTGGTGTTTCGGAGCAGCTGGAAGGCCTTCTGGAAGCCCGCTGCGTGCTGTGTGGCTCCATCAGAAGCCTTAATGTTGGAGATGAAGGTGCTCATCTTCCTCTTAGTTTCACTAGTGGCCGGAGACAGCAAACTCTTATAGCACTGGTCCAGTGAGCATGCCCGAACCGTTTCTGCCACTGACAGAACTGAGATCTGGAGAGGAATGATAATGAAAACCCAAGATGGTTGAGGAATAGTTAGCAGTTTTTTTAAGTGCGGTAAGAGAGCGAGGTCTGTTCCCTGTCACGAACCTTGTCATGTTCATCGATGGCATTGAGGATGACCAGTGCAGAGTCCCTGGCAATCTGAAGCTGGGTGTCAGTTACAGATGCTCCGTGGTCAACCATCACCACAATATGTTTAGACTGGGGACGCACTGCAGACACATACACAGGCCTGCAGGAATACACACAGACATGCATGGCCAGATCACACAACTGAACAACTAGAAACTAATATACAGTACATATAAACCTCAACCTCACTACAACATGATAATAAACAGATGTATCATCTTACAGATCTGCTAACTAAACAGTATGTCTCTGTATTTCCCTTTTTACCCTCTTCTCATCCCTTATTTTACCTTGATGACTTTTGTCACCATTGTCTTTCTAGTCTGCAATCAGCTACAGGTTTCACAAGATTACCTTCCCTTTAGTGTTATTTTTGACAGAGGTTAAACACTTTCCATGTGTCACTGCAGAGTTATTTATCCAGCACCATGTGTACACAGCTTCCTATAATCATATGGAAAATCTTCAAGCTTCCAAAGTTACAAAAAGAATTGTCCTTTTCAGTTAATATTCATATATTTATGGCGTATAAAGTCAGATTTCAACAGCTTTTCAGGCCTCATGGGGTCATTGTTACACAAAAAGCAAAAAACTTTAAAAACTACACCCTGAAAAAGAGAAACAGAAGGTTCCTGTCAAAAAAGCTGCAAAAGTGCATATTTGCTGGTTGACTACACAACCAACTTACAAAAAGCAAACTATGTGACTTGCAGTTAGCCTGAATCTATTATCTTGAGATAAACAACAATGCCAAGAATGTACTGCTGAGCTGCTAGAATAGACTTCCTTGTTTGAAAGAGTTTTATTTTGAATCCTTATTTTCTAGTAAAAATTTCAGTGTTATAATTTATGATGTATGTCACTGTTTGTACATGGATTATCAGTTTGGTGGTGGACAGAGGGGTGCAGAGGGTAGGGAGGTCAGCACCTCCGTCTGTGTGGTCTGCTGGGCAAGGAGCCACTAACGCAGGGTGGAGAAGGCGAACGATGTGCTCACAAAGGCTCATTCAGACTTGAAGCAAGTCAGGACTGTCATTTCTTTCGTGACTATATAACAGCTCACTGACTCAAACAGCAAGACAAAAATCCAAAAGACATGACAAATAAAAAAGCAAGAACCAATGCAAAATGACTCAGGGAGCATGACAGAAGCAAAGAATAGAGAAATAAAGGGCAAGCGAGACAGAGACCTCTTTCAGCCGTAACCGCATAAAAACCCACAACACCGGAGGTGTGAAATTCCAAAGGCTTTAGTGGTACAGAGCCACATTGCTGCCAAGGGCATGTGTGGTCAGGGTGTGTGAGGGTGGCACGCCGTCAACATGCCCTCTGGGCCGCCCCTCAGCAAATGACAGAGGAGGAAGGAGAGCATGGAAGACGAAAGCAGGAATAAGCTGTTGTGACTTTAACCTCAGCGAGTCTGTTCTAATAGCCTGAGTGATACCCACTGACAAACTGCTCATCTCACAGTACGCTGTGGCTTCATTACTGGGCCTCTTTACCCAGTCACACAGCAGAATGACACAAACAAAAAACTAACCATTTCAAGAAAGGAGATTGTTCAGTACCTGCTGCGGTGCTCGTAACTTCCTTTACAATGGAACTTGTGGGCAGGGAAGACTGTGAAAATGCCCTCCTCGGAACTGAAGTACTGCCACTTTATCCCCGGGTTGGACTTCAGGTTGTCTGCCAACACTGCAGGAGGAGGAGACAGAGCAAACAGAGAAAAATAAATAAGTGGGAAGGACAAATTGGCAAGAGTTGAAGAAAAAGAAGGGGAATCAGGGGAAAGTTGGAAATGAGAAGGGCAAAAAGAAAAGAGAAAACAGATGAGTAACTGATGAGATCAGTACTCAGAGTTTCTCTTGCTCAGATTTAACCTGAAATACAATAACTGTGAACTGTGATTCCTGTGTGAATCAGAGGGACTGAGGGTCTGCGTTACAGGACCGAGGCAGCCATCTGCAGTGCCAACTCACACACTGAACCTGGCCATCAGGAGTAACTTGGGCTTCGGTGTCTTGCCCAAGGACACTTCGACACGTGGACTGGGGAGAATGGGAATTGAACTGCCAACCTTCAGGTTAGGGGTGGTCACTCTACCTCCTGAGCCACAGCCGCCCCTGTAAGGGTGCTACTGTAGGCTGTGTACTTGAGCTGTTTTGGGCCTGTAAAGCCATTTTAGATACGGTATGAAGAACTGGGTTTACAAATAAATTTGCCTTGAGGGCTCCATGTTGCAAGCTAGTGACACGACACTGACACCATGAGTTATGTGTTGCAGAATATAAACAATGGGTTTTACAGTGCAGTGGAAACACAACCACGCTGACTTGGGAGCAGCTCAGTACGGTTCTGCCATACATGCCACGGCTCAGCAGGAGAGAAACGCCACCATTCAGGCATGGCAAGGTATTTAACTACATCCCCTTCTGGCTGGACATAAAGTTTACACATGTAAATGCATTTCCCATTTCTCACCCCTCACAGAATAAATTAACTCCACAAGGAAAAAGAAGCATGAACTGTTCAACTACTAAGAAGAATACAGTGCATTTCATTCATACAGATTTAATTGTCATAACTGTGACTGATGGGGCAAACTGAAACAACAGCCTTAGCTGCAGCTTGTGCAGGGACACTATCTTCTCAGCAGTAACAGACACTTTTTTATCAGGTCACAGAGTCAACAGAATCTTCACCAAGATGCCATCACAAAGCCGGCAACTCCGTCTCCAGTCAGTGCAACACGAAACAGCGTTTCACAAAGAGATGTGGGGTGTGGGGGTGGAGTAAAAGAGACAGACAGAAGCCCCTTACATGTTGCCTTTTCGAGGGGGGATCGGCGCACCTTTATTCCATCTCATTTTCCATGTGTAAAGTGCAAAGCCGGAATGGCGGGCCATTTTTGTTGCACCTCTGGGAGACGCGCTCTGTGTAGAAAGGCTGAGCAGGTGGTCCGGTTTTGATGGCGTCATATGTGTGCAACACTATCCGTGTATGATTTGTTGCTCAGTCCCTTCTGGGTTTTGTAAAAAGCTTTCACTGCCTCGTATGTCTGTAAATATGATGTTGGCTTCTCTCCAACTTACAGGTCCTGATGCCACAAACGCATTTCACTGCAGATATTACTCATGACGTTCGCACACATAACAAGAAACATGCTAAATGTTTGAAAAGCCAACAAAGCTACACCTGCACTTATCTCTCCTGACACTGTTGTTTTGGCTAGCAGACTAATGGTGCACAATATATGTCACTTGATGCAGAGTGACGTCAGGTCGCGTCTCTGTTTTGACCTTTGCCAGCCTCTAGCAATATTAAGAACCAATGAGTATTTGTTTTGTGGAAAAGGTGTAAAATCATGAGTAAAATATTCAACTATTAAAATCCAACTTATACACCAATAATCTACAGAGCATCCATGAAACTGTCCCAACTGCCAAAAATCAAAAACATCACCAAAAAGTATCTTCGGTTACATGTACGTGGCAAAGAAGTACTTTTTTGAGAGACAGCAGGTTCTTGCACACCACAGTTGCTGATGATACATCATCCCTCCATTCATCCTTAAATAAACAGGAACCACTCAGTTGTGTTGACAGTGGAAGAAGGGCTTTGTATACATCTTTCAGGCTACAGTGCTCCACTCTGCCAGAGGGGTTTAGATCTTCCCAGAAACAGATGGACAAGCAAAGAAATAAGACCCAAATGGAACCCGTTTCCTGCAACCTTACCACTCTTGACTATCTGCAAGTGCCCCACTAGATATATCTGTATCCATACATAAACACACCGTGCATACAGCTTTACTATAAGTATCACACACTAACAGTAAATCATAAAGGTACTACAGAAACATCAGAAGCCTGTGCTCAAAGAGCCACCCAAGTGTATCTTCCTACTTTGAAAGCTTTGCTTTATAGTGGTGCTAGAGAGTGCACAATACCTCTCTTCTTCTACTGCACAAAAGACAGTATTACCACAGAAAGCCATTCAAATCAAGATACACAGACACGATGTTCTTAACCAGCTTTTTTTATTACAGCATATTTTGCTGTTGTATTTTTGTTTTCTCCAGGTACGACAAAGTCTAGCAGCTCTGCGAGGTTGTAGTTTGGCACTGTGGTGTTTCGAGCCATATGTGAGGAAGCTCACATGCTTACAGTGACAACGCCTGTGCTGATTTTAAGTGGGTAATGTTTACAGCACTGCCCATCATAGTTCAGGGTGTTAGCATGCTGAGATCTGCTAATTAGCCCAAAACGTAATTTGCAACTGAATGTAATGGGAATTTTTATATGTTTGTTTTTACAAAGTACAAAACTTGATCTGACAGTTGTACTACATGGAACATCAGGGGATCACTAGAGCTGTTACAACTCATCCTGAGAGGAAAATGAGCCAAATGTACCAAATTTCATGCACCAATCTAATAGTTATTGAGGAATTTCACCCAAAATCAATAACGTTAAGAGAAAACATCACCAAAGTCACCTGGGAACCGTAAATCTCTGTAACAAACTTTGTGCCAATCAATCTATTAGATGTGGAGAGATTTCTACAGAAACTTTAACCTTCTGGTAGCAAAACACAGCATCTCCAAGTCCAAGAAATGGATGAAACTGTTTGGGGAATAAGAAAAGAAAAAGAAATGGATAGAGGAGAGAAGATGGCTCAAACTAGTCCTCTAATCATACAGTACTCACCCCAGTCATCTCTCATCTACTAGTCTTTACACTCCCACCTGCTGGTATCACTACTGATGCCTCCCACATCCACTATCTCCCTCCCATCTTCCCCTTCCTCCAAAAGAAAGTAAAATGGAAGATGAGAGGAGAGAAGATGGAAGGACTACAATGCAGTCTTGATACAATTACTCTGCTTCAATCAGCTCTCACCCCTCCTTCCTTTCCCTTCATTCATCAATCTCTCCCTCTCAATTATCCCTCACTCTCTCACCCACTTCCCCCCTCCCCTCTGTGGCTACTTGTTTAGACTGGGCTGAGAAATATGGGAGAGAATGAATACACTGGGAGCACCAGGGTCAAGGAGGGCTGAGTGTGGGAGAGGAGAGAGGAGGTGGAGGAGTAACTTGAACTCCTCGCAACTGGTTTGTAAGGAAAATAAAATGCAGTCGACACTGACATGTTATGAATGACCCATATTATGAATGGTTTGGAGAAAGAGGAGCAGACTGGGCTATCAGGAAAAAATACAAGGTGGGAGGCAGCAATGGGATGACAGAGAAAGAACAAATGATGTTGGAGGGTTTGCAGGAGGAAGGGGCAGGTGAGGGGGAGCAATGTCCCGTGTGCAGTGGAGGAGTAAAAAGCTCAGCGTGCTTCAAAAGAGTTTATACAAAGTGTTGTCCAAACACACCTAAGGGCAAAAGTGTTTATATGTGATCCACACTCAAAGGTGGCGAAACTCAGCGCATCACACACATATGTACATTTGGACACATATTTGGACAAAAAGTTCATATGTTGCCTTCTGTCTCATCTGGTGCTATCATTTTTTTGTTTGATTTTTGATTTGCTTATTCTGCAATGTGTTGGCATACAGATCTTTTAAGACATGCTTATGTTGAAATAAATACAAAGTAGTTGTGTATTTCATTGTACTGTTTGCCCTCTTATGGACATAATGCACAAAATAGATATTTGCTGAATATAAAGTATGTATTAAAAAAAAACAACTAATATTCAAATGTCATTTTTGGCCACTTCTGACAACACTAGTGCTTGGTAAAAGAAGTATTGTTCCCATTTGACCACTTCTGTGGGGATTTGAAAACTTTTACAATCCCAAATATTATATAGGGATTAGTGGAATTTCAATTCCTATAATAATTGAAAAGCATATTCCTGGAGAAAGCTGGCAGTGACTTCACTGTGTGCTAAAGTAAAACTAGAAACCTAAGAGACACAAAGAAAGTGGGTTCATTATTCCAGGAAACAAGTCTTTGTGTCATGAATGCATATAATGGGGCTTGATATTTCTCCTCTGGAAGCAGAAGATGCACACTGCTAACTATGTGCAGACACGTGGGTTTCACATGGCAGCATTCTGCAATGTGTTCATACAATTGGGAGCCTCAATAAATGCATTAGGAGAGCAGTGAGAAACTATTTCCTGCTGCTCTAACTCATGATGATTTGTGAGGAGGATGTCCAGGTTATGTATATGTACATTGCCAATATAAACATCCCTGATTTTTGTGACAAGTGATGCAATTTTAAGGCAGAAACAAAGAACTTAACAACGAGAAGATAAAACACACAACATGTGGATACAATTGATAATGTGAGATCAAACTCAAACAGCATGCATTTCATCTCGGGCTATAAAAAGCATTTCTCCTTTTCAACATTTCAAAAGAAGGACAGCTTTATAATTAGAAACTGGATGCCATGGTAATTGCTGTTAATTGAGAATCCACTTGGTGGAACTGGTGGAAGCTGTGTGTCCATGTTTCAGTTGTTAAAGCAGCTCATATGAAAATTCTTTGTGCTTCATCTGGTGTGTGTGTGTTTTTACATGTGCGTTACTAACACACCTGAATTGAGGTCTCGCCCGGGATTGAATGCTCGGCTGCTGACGGTGGGGGAAAGTCTGTCACAGCAGATGGTCTTGGAGACGTTGGTATTGAAGTTTCCATCGAACCTAAACACACACAAACAGGGAACGTTTGATAGTTTTTACTGTGTGTCCAACTCATTTGTTGGTGGAGCAGCTCTGGCTTTTCTCTCCGCACTAACAGATTTACTACTCCACAGTTTCATTTCCAAGGTCTGCATATGCCCCTGACTTTCTGGTAATGTTCATGTTAAAAATAAAAAAAAATTAACGCTACTGACTGAGCTTGACATGATTTACACAAATAGTAAACAAATCTCTGTGAAAGCGCAAGGTTAATCCAATTAGATGAAACATCGGTTAAAATGAACAGTCCCCTGCTTGTTGCTGAGGTAAACGGTATCACTCTGATCTGTTGCCCAGGCCTCATATTTGTTTAAGTTATAGCTGGTGAACAGTATTTTCCATGGAAAACTGCTTGAATTCTGCTTTCCCAGTGTTAGTGTTAAAACCTGCAGTTCCTCAAATGGCCACAGGAGGCCATTCCCCCTGTATTATTTTCAACAAAACATCACACTACAATTAGATATACTGAGCATTATATTAATATTGTCTCTGGCTGTTCCCTACCTCAACGCCATGCTAATGAAAAGCCAATGATAAGATGGTACCCTAAGAGATGAGAGGTGGTATTCCTACATATCCTGGAAACAGGATCACTTCTCTGTTGCTCTTCCTGAGCTTTCTTCCATTTTCTACATTAACATTTTTATTTTGTATGCTGTAGGCTAAAGAGGCAAATTTGTTTTTACTGACAAGGCTACAAGCACATTACACTGACCATGGGAGGGATACTGGTTAACAGAAGCCACTGCAACATGATCCCCTGGTGGTTGGTTGCAGTATAGGTTATATATCCTGCCTCCTCTGTGTTAGTGGATGGGACATGAGCCAAACTAAAAACTAAAAAACTCAAAGGTACAAATCAAATAAATTCGTCCCAGAGCTCACTTCAGCTATTTTTTACTAGATATTATCATGCTGATGTGTATGTCTCTGATGGCAATTAAACACTTAGCAAAAAAGAGGATCTGCAATACTGCCTTCAGACTGAGCTCATAATGAACAAACGTTATGTTTAGTACCATCATGTCATCAATTCCCGGCAGGGCTGCCTGCTTGCACTGTTATGTGACAACTGGTGTAATGTGAAATACAGTGTGGTCCCTGAGTAAACATATACAGAACTGTTCAAGGTGTTTTGGTGTTAAGCAACAACATAAATGGTGTTATTATCTGCTGTGATGATAAATTGGGGTTTCCAGGGCCTATATCTTATATACAAGCTGACAAAAGCGGTGGTATATGCAGAGGAGCGGCCTGTTCTCCACTGCACCAAGCCTGGGTGCTTTGATCCTTCCATCCGCCCAACTGGACTCCCATCTTTGGCTTATCTACACGTGTGCACACATGAACACACACACAAAACACACACCACACACACTCATTGGCTCCCTCTGCTTGCAGACCTGGCACTGGCTCAGTTTGATTGACAGGTGCTGTGATGTACAGGCTGCGTTTGAACTTCACTCATTTAGAGTCCCATAAGGCCACAGTCATTACTATTCTCCTTCAATCCACTCTGCATAGAAGGGATGGGCAGGATGCTTAGAAAAATGTGTGCCAGATAAAAAAAATAATAATAATAATACATCTGCAGCCACTTTGAATTCCACATCAAAAAACATACGAGAATGAGGGGGAGAGAGGGAGCAGGGCTTCAGTTATGAGCAGACATCTTAATGAGGGCAGAAAAATCTGTTTTGCAAAAGGCTCCGCTCGCCAGAAACGAAAACTAAAAAAAAATTCTAACTGAATTGGATTTACCAAATACAAACAAAAAAAACTGTATTAACCCAAACTTCATGAACGTTACAAATACAATGCCTGGTGCTTTAAATATTTCTTCTAATGAATATGCATATTAATAATGTATTTTTGGTGCTTGTTTGATTTTCCAAGAAGGGAGTGTTCTTCGATCAGGAATGACTCTGAAGACTATTCAAAAGCCAACCATTAATGGTTATGGAGCTGTGAGTGTCCTTAAGAAACACCCACACTTAAATTTATACATTTATTTGAATTACAATGAAAAACTGACAGTTTCTTTTGTCTAAAATGCATCCATTCTGAAGATCCAAAGGGGGTCGTGCTAGAGATATATAAAAAAAACTAGAAACAATTCTTTCCGACTTTAGAAACACACATCTTCAGCAAGACACTGGAGAAAAGACATGGAGTGCAGCGTGAAATATGCAGACATTTCTAAATAATGCAGCAACTGTCGTGTTCAGCAGTTACTATCCTTTCACTGTTTTATTAAATCTATCATATTAAGCAGCCTCCTGCTGCAGGAACCATGTACATCCACAAAGGAGGCAATCACATGCCATTAAAACAGCCCAGTGAGTACAATTACTTTGAAGAGGCATGCTGTTGTGAGAGTCCCAACTTTAAGAGTGATACCATTTCTAATGTGTCTGCAATCCCTTAGTGAATAGCAGCAGTAAAGCAGGCAACACACTAGCTCAAGACTGGAGAGTGCATGGACACGGCTTTTGATGTAACTGGCTTCGACAACAGCTCCATCCAAACAGATCTGACTGTGCTGTCAAAACTTAGAATAGATTTATAATCAATTTATATTTCACTGGACTGCATCAGAGTGGGAAAGACATGAAAGTCTAGTAGCTGAGAAAAACCAACTGAAGGCTTCAGTTTAGGTTTAGAAACAGTAAAAATAACATTTTTGAAAATGTTTGCTGCTGTACTGTTGAAATCACTGCATCAAAACATCATCAAGAAATTACAGGGATGAATTATAACACAACAGGCCCAGGTCACAAATATAAAAGTACCCCCAAACCTCCAACAAAGGCAAGAGATACAAGTTTAAATGTGTCTTTTTGATTGTTTCGTCTCTTTCTGCATCTTTTGTTGAACATTTTGTGTTTAATGTATCGATTGAGGAGGGAGGAAAGAAAGGGATGTTTGGAAGGAGAGTGGAGAGGAAGGGCGCACATCAAGAAGGGAATCAGAGGCCATGAGGAGAAATAAATAAATGGAGGCAGGGAAATAAATGTTCAAGGGCTTAGATAGGGGAACAAAGAAGAGGAGAGCGAAAGAGGAACAGGCTAACATTAACAGAGGTACTGTATGTGGTGAGAGTAAAACATGACGTTAGTGGCCCAGCATTTACGCCTGTCAAGGTCACTTAGTAAACAACCCCCCTACCAACCTGCCTAGTATGTTGCCATCTCCTTCTCTATACAAACCAATGTATCATCACAATGACACCTTCGGCAGAGGAAGAATCCTTAAAAAAACAGAAGACACAGAGATGCTTTAGCTAGCTTCCCTAGCAGTCAGGATGGAAGAGCTAAATTATCTACATTCAGTTGTTAAAAGTATTTCACAGTCCTGCATAAACTCAAAAGATAAAAGTGAGAGAGCTCTGTGTCCCCAGAGGAACAGCCTTTGAAGTTCAAGGATCTATCAGGCAAAGCTTCAGTTTGGTATGTCTAAACTCACCATCATCTACGTGACTCCCTCTTATCTCTTTGGTTAATTCTTTCTCTGCAATTTCTGCCTCCAACTGTCTCTCAAAGCTGTAAATCCATGGTTATACATTTGGGATTAGGCCGCATATGTCAACACACAAACGCAGGGTATGTTTGTTGTGAACAAACAAGGTCGTGCTAGAGATATATTTTCTTTCACCTGAGGTTGTTAAGTAAAGTCAAGTCATTTCTTTCTTTTAATGATTTTGAGATGGCAATCCACGCTTTTATAACCTCTAGACTTGACTATTGTAATGCATTATACCTTGGTGTTAATCAGTCGTCTCTCTCTCGTCTTCAAATTGTCCAAAATGCTGCTGCTCGTCTTTTAACAGGTACTAGGAAACTTGACCACATTACCCCAGTACTGGCCTCCCTTCACTGGCTTCTAGTCCATTTCAGAATTCATTTTAAGATGTTGATTTTTGTTTTTAAGGCTCTTAATGGTTTGGCACCGCCCTACTTCGCTGAGTTGGTGAGGTGGTGCGACTCGATTACTCAGATCCTCAAGCCAGTTTCTTTTGGAGGTTTCCAGGGCCAGATACAAACACTGGGGTGACCGTGCTTTTATTGTTGCAGCTCCTAAATTGTGGAATGGTTTATCTCTTAATGTTAGATCATCTACAGACTTGACAACTTTTAAATCACTGGTTAAAACATATTTATTTACTTTGGCTTTTAATACATAGTAGTGTCTGATGCATCCTTCTTTTAACTATTGACTGTGTAGTTCATATCTTTATGTTCCTGTTTTATTTCTTTATTGATATTATTTATTCTGGTTTTTACATTGCCCTTGTAAAGTATTTTGGTCGACCAGACGTTGCTTTTAAAGTGCTATATAAATCAATTTTGATTGACTGATTGAACAAGTCTTGGATGCACGTACAGTATGACACATGCATGATTCGCCTACAGGTGGCCAGCGGCCCTCAGCCAGGCAACCTCTCCGTCTGCATAACTGGAAAGACAGGTGACCTTACAGCCTGTGAAGTCTGCAGCGCAAAGACCTTAGAGAGCAATAACTGGTTACATTGGCTGATAAAGGGGAGGGAGACAGACAGAAATGGAAGGAGTGGGGATGAGGGGTAGAGACAGCTGCTGCTCTCTAGATTAGAACTGAAAGCAGCTCTCTCTCTCTCTCTCTCTCTGTGAGCTCGGCTTTGAACTGAGCTCAGAGAGTTCTTGCCTGCTAGAACTGATGACTAGCTCAAAAGCTGGGTCTACACTGTAGGCTGGGGCAATCTGAAACTCTCTCAGTGCAGGATTTAAATCTGCCATATTCATTCTCACACCCAGGTTCAGTTTAGTCTTGTGGGCACACAAGCCCTGGCTTAATTTGATCCCCAAGCTATGTTTATAAGAACTACAACAAAAATCCATCCATCCATTATTTATAACACTGGAGCCAATCCCAGCTGTCATTGGGCGAGAGGCAGGGTCCACCAGGGTCCACCCTGGACAGGTCGCCAGTCTATCACAGGGCTGACACACAGCCAGACAATCACACGCACCCATACTCGCTCCTAGCTGAACTCTGAGTCTCCAGTCAACCTAAGCTGCATGTCTTTGGACTGTGGGAGGAAGCTGCAGTACTCGGAGAGAAGCCACGCAGGTGCAGGGAGAGCAGGCACACAGAAAGGCACCGGGTCGGCCCAGGCTCGAACCCGGAGCCTTCATGCTGTGAGGTGACAGCGCTAACCACCACGCTGCCTACAACAAAAATAAGGTATGGAAATGTAATCATCAGTCGATTTCTCATTAATATTGTTGACATATGTGTTGCAAAAGTTGAAAGTCAACAAATAAGATGGATTTCTAAAAAAGAAAAATTCATTACCTATGAAAACCCCGTATTTCCCCTTTCGTTCTGGACTCCAAGTCCCATAAAGCCTGCTGTTGAACTCCTCGGCAGAAAAGCAAAAACTGGCACAACTAACTTTTGAACAGTTTCTGAAATAATTGTAGAGTTTTAAAAAGCTGCCAAGTATCGGAGCATGTCAGCACCGCTCATGGCTGTAAATGGGATTTACACACAAACTTAATCCAAGGATAAGCAAAGCACGTTTAAACAAGGGAGAAGAGTGGGTGTGTGCGCACTGGAGCATAAAGCAATGTATAGAATGTACAGCAGAATGCAGGTGCCAACAGTGGGAGGTTGGTTTACGGACAGAAAATGAACCTCCCACATAGAATGAACAAGTAAGAGAGAGGTGTTTGTCTTTGAAAGCAGGTTACTTACTCCATCATAGATGCTGGTATGGAGCAGCAGTCCTGTATGGCAGTGAGTGGAGACGTGAGGTGTGCAGTGTATGAGGCCTCCACCACCTGCTTGTTCCTGTTCACCACATCCAGGTAGCGGTTAAACTTTTCCCGAATCTTCTTGGCCAGCTGCCCAAAGGAAACACAGACATGTTGATTAGACATGGTGACACCTAAACTGACCTGTGATGTAATCATCTGTACAGTCACACTGCAAGCCTGACCAAAAAAAAAAAACAACCTTTGTAGGTTAGATGGGATAGTATTGTCTACCACACAGTCTAAAACTTAAATGGTGCACAAATATGCAACACATACACACCACCTAAGAACAGATCAAACACTTCTAAAAGGTGGGACCTATTAAAAACAAAGTCAGACGTGCAATTCTATATTGTAACGTTGGCTGGGTTAGAAGAAAGGTCGGGAGACCAGAGCTCGTCTTTATTGTCAGCTGGGGAACACAGTAACCACAGAACGCAGGGACACACTGAACACACACACACACACACACACACACACAACTAAATAGAGCCTGCCCAGAGGAGCAGTATGGGGAATCCCCCCAGGTGCTTCTCCCCTCGGGCATTCAGGGGGACCCCGCCAAGTGTCTCTCCACCCCCAACACTACAATATATAGCGATATATAGCTGTATATTGGAATAAATTTACTTCACTGTGTAATAAAGTTTAGTTATTATGCCTACAGGAGGAACAGCAACACTGACTCTATTTAAATCTTAAAAATGTAGTTCTTGTGGTTTTTACCATCAATGATGCTTCAATAAAGAAAAAAAAAGTGTTATTGTGTAGAGGGTGATAGGCTCCACCATTCGGGTCTGGGGTACTTTGTGGAATGTCACACTTAACAAGTGGAGAACCAGCTCTGCAGCATTCTCCTGGGGGACATTAATAAGCAGCGCACCTGCAGCTCTTCACAACAGATTGCTGTTCTTACTATCTGTTTGGCAAAATGTTAGAGGTAACTGAGGAACACATTTTACTTCATCTGAGACATCACATGTATGTAATCTGTTACAGATCATCCTCTTAATCTGAAAGTTGTCACATGATCCATTGAGTTACATGAAATCTGCTAAAGAACTAATGGGTTTCAGTTACTTTGGGAGTACTTTTCCAGTTGAGGGGTTTTGTGCACAGAAACTGCACGGTAGGTTAAGGAAAAGATCGTAGTTTGGCTAATGTTCTTCTACACTACATCACCTAACGTCCTCTGTTCCGGTCGCCCGAGTCACTGTTGGCTGTAGTAAGCTGCTGGCACAAACATATTTTTTACAATACATGAAAATTCTTTCCAAGATTTAAAAAACACTGACAAAAACTGCAAAGAAACTTCTCATCCTCAGTTATTGTGAGCACATTCGTGGCAGCAACATGACAAATAAAACTGTAGAAAAGTGCATGTGGGCTGAATACTTTCCAAAGCCATTTTAAGTTACCTACTCAACCTTGTTGAATACAGAAAAAGGCTCTCTTCCACAGTAACCTCCTTTGTTCACATCCCATAATTACCACTGCCTGCAAAAGGGCTGCGATTCAAGCTGGGAAAAGCAAAATGCACTGTGACCCACTGACCTCTTGTACACCTAATCAGCTGGCCACTATGCATTTTAGGGGTTTAACAGGGGCCTGAGGCACAGCCCGCAATTACTGCTGCTCCACCGCAAGAAACACACAGAAAGCATGTGCACGGACAAGAACTTAAACACACAAATGTGGTACTTCCCAACACAGAACACAGTCCATGCACGGCAGCAGGACAATTAGCTGCAGCGGACTTTGTATTAAAAAGAGAAAAATGGGCCAGTGTTGAGCCGAGGAGTGTTTCCATGGCTGAGGGAAACCAGAAACTCTGAGCTCTTCAAGTTAAAGCTTCGTTTCCAGCTTGCCACAGTGTATCCAAAGCCAACCTGCAGCCACACTCTTCAAAACACAGCTGCTCGCTCCACCCTGAGCCATTCAGCTCGAAGGGTTTGCAGCATCCAGTGGGGCTGGTTCAGCACCACAACAGATATTACTAGCTTGTAGCTTACAGCTACATACCACAAAATGTTTATATCGAGCTGTGGACTGTTTATTTACAGTGATATCTATACGTTAACAAGAAAAGGTGACATCTTTTTAGACTTGTATGGCAAGACAAAAAAAAAAAACAGCAAAGATAGTAACAACTATGTTAGTGTCACCATTTACACACTGTAGGAGTAAATGCCGATAGCCAGTAAAACGATAAACACTACATGCCAGCAGTGCCGACCTGCAAAATGGTGAATTAATCAAAATCTCATTTTTGACTTGAATAGAACCATTTCTACTTGTCCTTTTCTTTCCATTTCTTAAATGTCACCTTACAGAGACTGCATCTATGGACCGTGATTGTCAGCTGCAACGCTAAAGTGCAATACCTGCCACAGGTACATTTCTATGAACTCAGATCAACCCTGTGTGTGTTCCAGTCTTTCTCTGGAAATTTCAAAAGCTTCTCATGTTGGCACTGTTCTCACTGTGGCACCTCAATGTGCATTTGTGTAATAACAAATTTACAAAACAACAAGCTATTTTTCCACATGTTCATGTCCGCAGAATTGGGCTCAGACTTTGTCACACATGTAGCACACAACAGGAGATAGTCTGTGTCAGATACTTTCTCATCTGCTGGAAATATTCCATTTGGTTTATGCGAGGGGGCAGCACAGGGGTTAGCGCTGTCACCCCACAGCAAGAAGCAGAATACATTCATAAAGCAGATAAGAACAAACTTAAAGACAGACAGTGAGAGTGCACATCTGTCTAAATAATGAATTTCCAGAGGAGAAACTTGTCAGAGGAGTTAGCAGCTCCTGTCAGTAGCTCCTCGCCCTCTCGCCATCTCTACTGGCCCTATCCCATCACCTTGGCTCAGAGATCCAGCCGCTCTGCCCAGAGAGAAAAAGCCTGAGCTGTCATCTGAATTAGTTGGCCTGCCTCAGAATGGCTGTGGGCTGACTGTACAGACTCTTCCAACAAGAACCCAGAACGAATGAAGTCAGTGCTGCCCTGGGACCATCACTTACTAATATAAACCAAAACCATGTGATGGCAATCCAAAGCCTTAGATCTAGTACTGTATCTGAAGACATTCATTGTGCAAGTTAGTCCCAATTAAGATTTCTGTAGAGAAATTAGGCTGATATGAGCAGCCTCTGGAACAGTGAATAGATACACAATGAGAGATACTATATATTTTTCACTTACGCACATGCATGGAGCAACACTGGTGCACACAGTCACAGCAGAAATGCAAACCTGTCTGTTCATGCTGGTGGCAGTTTACCAGTCTGGTGTTTACTCTTGCTCTTCCAAGATCCCTGATGCACCAGTGCAAAAACACACAGATACGCTATGCCTGCACACAATCGTGTTTGACTTGAATTGGAAACATATTTTTCCATTCTAGGACCAGAATGGCACGCCTACATTCAGTCATGGGGATTTAGCGTCATTTAACACAAATCTCTCACTTCTAGCACTGCTATGCTTGTTTCCAAAAGGATTCCATTCTCTCCTTCAAGCCTTCATATTCTGTCCAACTGCAGCTCTGCGCTCATATTCAGAGCAGAGGGAGAGAGACGGGTGAACAAACAGAGAGCTTCAAAGACGATGAGAGTTCAGCTGTAGAATTTCAATAAATTTCCTTTTTCCTGTGATGGGTGATGTGTGTGTGTGTGTGTGTGTGTGTGTGTGTGTGACCACAAACAGATGCCGTCAATGGCACATGCATGCACAAACAAAGTACACACATACACGTGCACACACAAGGGAAAGGAGAAGCCTTTGTTACTCACCTGCTGCACTTCTGTCTCTCCGTTTGATGTCTTCTCAGTGTACACAAATGAGTTGAAAATCCTCTGTGAAGACAGAAAGGAAACAAACAACAGTGACCTTGGATGAGGAGGAATGCTTAAGATTTAGATCCGTTAATTGAAAACCATCACCTGAGGGTGACCATTGGCAAAGTTCCTTTAAACAAAGTTACTGAGGAGAAAGCTTTGTTATTAACATGCTGCAATTGTCTCTACAAGTCACTGAAATGTTGGCAGAATGAGGGCAATGGCAAAAGGATGGACAGATGGATTTCAGTGCACTTTAGTTACAAATTACAAGCATCCTGTTGTGCAGTGGTTAAGATGTACATCGTATGTCCTCTGTTCGATTCCGGTTGGTGACCTTCACTGCGCGCCCCACTCCTCTTTCTCCTCATCATTGCTTTCACAATCAAATAAAAGCAAAACGCCAAAAGAATCTTGAAAAAGAAAAAAGAAACAAAATCTATTGTCGTCTTGTCAAATCATTTAAAAGTCGTATCAGGCTCCAGTAGGATCATTGTAGATAGTTACTAAATGTGATGAAGGCAACAGTAAAGCTTTGACTGCTGAGACAAGTCAAAGTATGATGAACAAGCTTAAGCTATACATCTTATACAGTATCGTAATACTGGATATAAAGTAAATGACTGAATGGTCGGTGTTGTATAGTGTGCGACTACAGGTAATTAACAACACAACAAACCCAAACTAACTTCACTTTGTCCAGGTTATCATCCTGATTCTAGTTCTAGGCTGAATGCACTTCTCTGCTGAGACAGATGCATCTGCAGCCATTTTATTACTGCTCCAGAGAGGACAATAAACCTGGATAGCTACCAAAATAACCAGCCCACAGACGCAGACAGTAAGGCTCTGTCTTTTATATCAGTTTACACATGGAGGTGGAAAACGTGTTCCCTATCTGGAGCCATCGCACAAAACGACGGCTTTCATGAGCACTAATTCACAGGGTGATGTTAAATTCCCCCATTCCCCATCCATGATGAAGGTCTCTGACTTATATTGTTAGGTGAATAGTAAGTGGAGCAGGACATTAAGGCGTGGAGAATATTAGCTATAAGACATGTTTATTCTGATGATCTCTTGGGTTCCACCAGCTAAATATCTTTTCTTGCTATTACAGGCACAAAGAACAAACTTTCCAAAACTCAGGTGTCAGTACGGTGTGGCAGCTACAAGCAGTGTCAAACTAATGTTTGTGTTGAGACAGCATGCAGACAGGTGTTTCACTGTCGCACTAAGCACAAAGCCTTAAATTGCCTGGTTTCACACTGCAACCATTTCCTGCTCCCTTTCCACACCATTTGTTAAACACATCACAGAGGGCACAAATTACCCACAATGCACCACATTCAAACCAACATACAGCTGACTCACTGTTGACTGTAATTGCACTACTACAGCTACACCTTCCCACCTTTCAGATCTCAACAAAGTGTGACGAAACAAAGTTTCATCGGTTTCACACATCCATACTGAGCAGCTGCAACATCTGAGAAGCTACAACCAAAAAATATTTGGCATTTTTGACAACTGGCATAAGAGATAAACTGATTAAGGGCTGGAACTAAAAGCTATTTTTATTATCGATTATTCTGTCAATTATTTTCTTGATTAGGAGAAATATATGTGTATCTGAATTTGCCAAAGCCTAATGTGACATTTTCAAATGTCATTGTTCGTCTTATACAAGGTCAGTACCCAAAGATATTTTGTTTACTACCACAGATGACAAAGGAAAGCAGAAAATATTCAGAGAATTTTGATATATTTTCTTAGGAAATGACTCAATTGATTATCAAAATAGTTGTCAAATATTTTTGATAACTAATCATCGCAGCTCTAAATTGATCAAAACAGATGATCTCTTTAAATAAGCTGACTAATCATCTTGGCTCTAACTGAAATACACCTTCATATAAGTAAACATACACAAACACAAAGATACACTGTGATACATACCCAAGTGTCCTTACAATGCCCTCTCCTGGGCCATAGTTAGGATGTTCAGAGTGCACTCCATTAGACTAAGTATCAAATCTTTGCAAATTCTGTTATGTCTAATGTGGCCAATAAACACGGGCTGGAGCGAGCACAAAGACAGTGCTAACTGTCAATCTGTCCTCAACTGAACTTAGAAGTGCTCAGTGTTGATCCTGTTTGTCTAAATGAAGTCAGCAAATCCTCACTCCTGTCATTTTACAGAGCTGTGTGACTGACAGTGGAGTGCTATACAAACAGTTTCATTGTGTTATTATTACATATTAATCACAGCAGCACATTTCACTACTCAGTTATTTAGTAAGTACAGAACCAAGCCTAGACAGTCTAGTGATCCACACCCTGGTTAGTGGAAAAACGGCAGATCCAAGAGGTTGAACCGTCAAATAAACACAAACACAGTTGCTACCACTTAGCAGGAATCACATGCTCACAAGGCGCTGCACTAACCTAAGAAAGAAAAAATGGGAGGTAGATAAAGGCATTGAAATAGGAAACATTTCTGAAGCACTTTTTAAAGCAGTGATTCTGAAAAATGGGGAACAAACTCTGAAGAGACAGAAAACTCCTGTTGTTGATTAGCCACAGGTTAGCTGCCTCTCCCCCGGTGCCTCCAGTGTTTGTTGTTGGAGCTGCTTTGTGGTTTTCACAGCTATGGAGCAGCCAGGGAGGAATGTTCGGCACTGAAACCTGAGAGGCCTGAGGCTGGCTGGGCCACCATGGGCCTGTGGCCTCCCCTTACCCATAGTCCAACACTAAAACACACACACACACACACACACACACACACACACACACACACACACACACACACACACACACCAGTACAGAGGCTGTACACCTTATTGCTTAGGCCTCATGTCTGTGGGTAACAAAGTGTTATCAAAGTAAAAGTCTTACTTTGTAAATATTTTAGTGTTAATTTTTAATTAAACTACACTACTTGATGTTTGTATTAACAGGAAGAGGTATATAGTATAAACCAGTGCCACATACCACAGCTCTTAAAGCCTAAGCTAGTTTGCTAAGACAGCTTTTAAAACACAAAGGGGTTTAAAAACTGCATCGCTTTGCCGGAGCTCCCTGTGACGCTGGTGCCGGCAGAGGTGAACACAATCCCCCATAGAGTGAGTGGACAGGGCTGTGTTTTTTCACACCTTTGAAAGCGAACGCAGCCTTATGCAGACTTGTAACTCAACCTGCTCACCTCTCAAGCCTTGGAAAAGAGGAGGATTACACTGTTAATGTATTGAGACCCACACAAAACCATTCTCTCCCTATTATTCTGTTTCTCTCCCTTAACTCTCTCATCCGCTTCGCACCCTGTGATAGCAGCTTAAACTGATGGTTAAACAATGCATATGGAATTCATTTAAGTGGGTCTCCCTCTCCAGTTCTTCTGTCGGGCTCTCCTTGGGGATGCCGTAAACTACTCCACGATGGCCCTTCTCCTTTAAAGTGCCTCTTTTGTTCTTTGTGGCGCAGTGAATAACATCCAGACAGATGACTGACAATACCAGCCCAAGGACAGAGACACAGAAGGTCACCCAAGTATGTACTAGTAGGTAATAGGTCATAGCCAGCCCCAGCACAAAGACACAGGGTAAGAAAAGGAAGAAAGGAAGGAGAGGAAGAGGAGGCCAATTGCAGAGGTAGGGCTGAATTGGGAATACACCTATTAGCAATTCACCCATCTTCAAAGGCCACAGAGGAGCCGTGAGCTACACTAATTTGGAGTTTGACTGTCAAACAAGCACACAAAAAACATACACACACACACCCACACACATTAATCCTGTCTTCGGGGCCTGTTGATGAGTCGTCCAAGGTTTAACTGTGAATACACTGGAGGGCAAAGTGGAAGAATGATATGGGTAGGGCACATCCAGAAGTGTGTGTGTGTGTAAGTCAAATTGAAAATGTGCCAACTGTGAATCAATTGAGTGTGTGCTATGCATACGAAAAGATGCCTAGGCCTAGTGCATTTGTGTACCTCACCAGCTGCTTATCTCGCAGTAGGAAATGTCTACGAACGTGAACATTTCTCTCTCACACAGACACACACACACACACACACACACACACTTCACATCCACACAGGCTGCAGTGTAGATGTTTTGGAGCTGTAAGGCTTGACAGATTGGTTTCCATACAACTGACACATTAAAGCCTAAAGCCCAAGGGACAGTAACTGCTGCTTCCTCCATGCTGCTGGTGTACAGCTCAGCCTCTCTCCTTCCTTCAGTACTTTATCGCCCCCCATTGCCTTTTCCTCTCTGCCTGCTTCCCTCCCCCCTCCCCTGCTCCCAGCCAACTCTCCGCTCAATGCACTACAAAGGGGATGGAGCCAGGGATGCAGCATCAGAGCTTTGCCTCTGATGTGTGTGTGTTGTTCTGGCTTTTTTTTTTTTTTTACTTTTCTCCTAGACCCCATGTCTCCATACCCATCCACACCATCCCATCTCGATTTTTTTTCTGAATGCTACAAAGCAGAGTCAAAAAACAGGCACCTGGGAGTGTGAAAGAGCAAAGGGAAGAGAAAGTACAGCTTCTGCTCATCGTGATACAAAAAAAACAGTCTAAAATAAGAGAACAGCATTTGTATTCATAAGACAAACACTGGTTTATGTCTTTCTTTTTTGCAACAGTCACACTACAGTAATAGAGAATTGTGAAAATTAAGCCAATAAAAGAACGGCCTGATTGCTTCACTCTATGGAGCATTTGTAAAGGAGATCGAGTTTTTCAAAGGCCTAAACAACTGCACAATTCATCAGCTTAGTACCAGTGAGAAGCTTTATCTGATTTTTTTTTAATTTTGTTCACATCTATCGCTATATATTGTCTTGAGTTTAAAGCTGCTAGTGTGCAACTAGTAGTGAAAACCTGTGGTTATTTTTGATTTAGTGAGTTCCATTTTCAATCATCTATATAGGTGTACAGTATTTGTGTGCTCAAGGCCATTTATGTGCACTAGAAAAAAGTGGCACAAATAGGAAGAATGCTGTCACACGCGGAAA